CCTGGTAGAGGTGTAGGCAACCCTATAGAGGTGGATATCTACCTAAACAATTGGGGAGAAGTAAAAACTCACAGGGCACAGTGTTGCCTCCAGATTTTAACCTCTGATTGTCGTACTGCCATGTCACAATCTCGTACATTGCATGGCAATCATGTGTTTAAAACAGGTGGTGAAGAAGCAATGTATCGCCCCTTCACCACTTTTCAAATATACTCTGATTGCTTTTCAGAGGAGCAGCAGTGCCTGAGTGAATGAGCTCTTAGTTGTATTTGGCAGTAGCACCCTTGGGGCTCGTTCACACGTAAAGTTAGGGGATGGTAAAACCCTGTGTTTGAGTTGCGCTTTTTACCTCCCCCAAACCCTACTCCCTTTGGCTGCTGAGGCAGCAGCCAAAGGTGTACAAATGCAGCAGCAGGAATTAAACCCTCTGTTGCTTTTGGTGGGTGCTACCACCACCAATCATGACCTATTCAAGTAAACGGGCCCACTGTGAAAGTGCTTCGCAACTGAATGCTTCTGCAGGGTCCAAGGGTTTAAAGCAGGTGGTGAGAAAGCAACACAACGCTGCCTGCTTTATCTCCTTGTTTGATGTACTGTACAAGGTTGAAGGGCACGTGCAGAGTGGCCTCATTCACTTGAACAGGTCATGCTTGGCAGGTGCTACACCCTTCAACTATTACAGGGCGTATAACTCCTGCTGCGGCATGTGTACACCCCTGGCCACTGCAGCTAAAAGTGGTGCGGTTGGGGAGGGTGGTAAAAACAAGTTTTACTAAAACCCCAAACTGCAAATGTAAATTAACCCCCTACTGTTCTGAGCCCCCTATAAGCCTGCTTTTACACTGATGTGCTGCAGTCTGCCTGCCCTGTGGGTGCAGTGCAATGCATCTGCAACTTTCCTGGGTTAGCTACACTTATCCATAGACTTCTAATATATCCTGCACGTGTGCTGCACTTTCTGAAAGTGCACCAAAACTCCTGGAGCTCAGTGTATTGTTTCTCACTGACTTGAAGGTTTCTTTTTTCCTGCTGCTGGCACCACTCTAGAGACTGCTAGCTGTGATAAGAGGTGGAGCGCAATTGGTATCACTCTGCGTAGGACAGGAGCCAGCACTACAGAAGAGGAATCAGCTTATGCGGCTCTTGCTCCCTACTACTGCTCCAACTTTACAAGTAGTCCCTCTACATTGTACTCTGTTTGATGCTTTGGGATAGCAAGTCAACAAGCCCAGATCGTGATCTACCAGTCACCTGGCTGCGATCTACTGGTTGCTGACCCCTGACATAGAGTATATTATAGATGCAGCTACAAAGTTATAAACACTTCCATCTACTGGTCTGTTCTATAGGGCTATATACAGAATTTCTAACAGAAGGACTGCCCATTGTAGTGATGTGCCAATAGGGAACATCTGGGGACAGGATTTTGCAACATGCTCAGAAATCACTGTATCTGGAAGAGTTTTCCTTCATAATGGCTTGTCATTTGCTCCTGCAAGTATTTTCCCCTAGGGGCCTGCATTGCCCACCCTCTGCAATTTGACCCCCTTAACCCCCAAGTGACAGAGTCACTTTAATGATAATTTAGGTTTTTTTTTCATAAATCTTATATCAAAGGCATACACACTTTAGCTGATTTCTTGTTAGACACCAAACAGTTCTTGATATAAAACTATGACCTGTATTACACTGGCTCGTTTTTTTTGTCTAAAACTAGAAAATGCTTCAAATACAAGTACAATTAGAGGTGACATTTTGCTCCTGTAATTTCATGGTTTTCTTTCTTTTTCTCATACCTTTCTCATAATTTTGCAATAACTATCTGGAAAGGTCGTATTTCTGTCGACAATTTTTCTTCTCTTGGACTTGATGACAAATGCCTTGGATGGGACGGATTATTTCTCTTGATATACAATAAAAATAGAGGAAATTCCTGACCTTTGTGTTATGATAGACCATATGGCCACTTGATTTGTTCTGCATTGTATCAAAGTGGACACCTCCCTGATGAAGAAGGCTGGATCCTAGAAAATGCTTGATGTGATATATTAGCTTGCATGCCCGGAGATCAAGGGCCTTATTTACTAAACAGCACAGGACCATTAAGCATCTTACAGGGTCAGGAGCTGCCTTGCGGGCAGGTATGTAGCTTGGGCCATAAGGCTTTGTGTATTATGGGCTTAGCGCTCTTGACAAAACCTGGCCTTGGCCATCTTCTGGATCATTTGTTCATGTCTTTCACTGGCCCTTTTATTTGGTTTTCAGCAGCCTCCAAAGGCTTGAACAAATATTCTTCGTGAACACATTAATCACTAAATGTTCACTGCATGGCAAGCTCAGATGTGAAGGTCTGTATGTTCTATCCTTTATATCCCTGAAAAGCATCTACATTGCCACAGCTCTAGCCTTAACCCATTCATTTCTCTAGACACAGCTCATCACCTAAAGCAGAATCGTAGCCAAATAAAAGTGTAAACCATTTCTTCCAACACATGGGTTAATCTGCAATCTTGCGTGTTTACCTAACGTCAGTTACATTCTACGTATAAGTAGTATTATGGTCTAGGTTTCTATATTAGCTGTCTTTTCTCCTTGATTCTGAGCATCAATGATACACTACATTGTCGAGGGGCTAAAGCACAACAATGCAGTTTCAATAAAGTTTAAAAATGAAATGTTTCAGTACAGTGGTAGAATAATGACCTTGAAAACAGGTTGAATTTAATTAAATGTGTATGTTTTCCTACAACCTTTTTTTGATAGGCCCACTACTTTGATAATTTTGATATTCACACTCAAACATGCGACATTAAAGATGCAGGAAAAAGTATTTTATGGGTCAGCAGAAGAGCATCATACATATATATATATATATATATATATATATATATATATATATATATATATATATATATATATATATGTACACACACACACATATACTGTAGAATACATTTTTAAGAGGAGAACTTTTGTTTGTCATTGCAAGGGAAAACAAGAGATTCACTTAATGGATGCCCAGCCAGCAGCACATATTCCACTTTCATTTGCTCCTTTCCCTATCTATATAGGCTGTGGAGGAAAGTAAAATATCTGGTTCTTCAAGTTATGAGGGAACCTATGACTCATTCCCCTCCCTTCAAAGTGACAGCAATGGTGCTTGGTGAATGGGTGTTTAGGCACCCATTGTTGTCATATGGGAGTGGGATGACAGTCTTCAGCCCTGTGTAATCTTTAAGCTATAACTTGGTGCTTATATGGGGCTTACTCTATCTGTTCCAAGGAGGCAAAGGAGCAATGGAAAGGTGAAGGGAAGGCAAATATAAGGAGCTGGTAGGGCCGTTATTAAAGTGAACCTATTGCTTTGTCCTGAAAGATCAAAGCAAAGGTTCACTTTAAAGCAGAGCTCCACCCAAAAGGGGAAGTTCCGCTTTAAGGACTGCTCCCCATTAAGGATTGGCACCTTTGGGGAGCAGGGGGGGGGAGTGGGTACCCAAATTTGACAGGTACCCACTCCCACTTCCGGTTCGATCGCCTAGGCGATTGGAAACGGAAGGTGTCCTCCCTCCCTATAGTCTTTTGCAACACGTGACAGGTCCCAGAAGACTACAGAACCATTCACGAAGTGCAGAGCTACTCACACATGCGCAGTGGGTACCCGAATGTGAAGCCGCAAGCTATCACAGCCGGGTGCCCACACTGAAGATGCCGGCCTCCTGGAATACAGGATGCCCAGTGAAACGAGCTGTGGGGGACACACCACGGGACTGAGGGACAGGTAAGTGGCTCTTTTTTAACAGTCAAAAGCTACAGTTTTTGTAGCTGCTGACTTTTTTTTTTTTTGATAGGTCGAGTGGAACTCCACTTTAAGTCTAAAGTATTTTCAATACAATAAGATTTCTGCTTCAAATATTACAGAGCTTAAATAGTTATTGCCCAAAAACAAAGTTTCTGACATAACTGTTGTCTTTGAAACCCATAAACAAGTATTTTGTACTTAAAGGATTCTTTGTTCAATGTTTTTATCCTTTTATTAAAATCTAAACTTGTATTAGGTTTTTAGAAGACATAAAATATGGTTCAGTATTGTATACAAATATAGAACACAACATTTCAAATTTAGCCCTGAAAATTTAGCATAGACGGTCATAGCTTCTTCTTAAGAGGAGTCATTCAGTCATAGTGTACATGTACATTTTTTTAACACTATATCAAACCATCAGTACTAGTTAAAGCCTGTAGATAGCGGTGCATCTCTTCAAATCAATTTCCCTGGGCCTGGACAAAGCCCTAAATTTTAAGGCTCAATCTAAGTTGAAAACGAACCCACCTCATCTGGTGCTCAACCTTACCTCATGTCGCTGAATCTACAAATGTCTGCACCTCGGTGGCTTGTATCAAGACGTCTAACCAAATACATATATTCATATTCTAAGATATTGACTGATTAAGTAGTAAAGAAAAGATAATGATGACAGCCACAATATGTATATGACAGATTCTATAGTTCTACATTGGCCGAATCCTTGTAGTGGTGTGTTAGTTAGCAGTTTACAGGTTACTGCTACAATGTTTTACCATAACTCCTTATTTGTTCTTGTTCTTTTAGTAGCAATTTGTGGTAGCAATATTACACTGATGGAGAATCTTCAGATACTGTGGAGTAAATAATTATCAAAGTTCACAACATAGGCAGTGAAGCAGGTTGCTCATAGCTTTCAGCACCTGCTGTTTGTATATATTAGAAGGCTGGCAGACATATCCCTGCAGCTAGAGAAGATGAGGGCATTTCAACATCCCTGCTGTGAACATTTCAGGATAAATTTCTCCACAGTACCTGCAGCTAAAGGGGTCAAGGAAGACTTGTTTAAAAACTCAGGTACATTTTAGGTACAGCTACTAATTCCTACATGTCTGCTGCCACCACCTTAATTCTTAGAGACTGAGCCCTCTCACGTGTGTCTAATCTTGTAATGAAATGGACATAGACTCAGATTTACCTGAAGTGCTGACACAAACTGTATGGTGCTGACGAAGGCAATTGAGGCTCCTTGATGAAAATTGAAACGTATTGTGTCCACAAAATGTGATGTATCAATCTTGATATCAACAAAGACATACAGCATCTTTATCCCATGTGTGGCATCAATAGGGACTATGGAATTAAAAAGCAGAAGTTAGATATACACAGGACTTAATACATGCATGTTCAACAACAAACCAAATCACAGTAAAGTTTGTGTAAAGTTGGTGTGTCAATGGGCTTGTCTATTTAAATGAACATATCAGTTTTTGGTTGACACTTGAAATTTGAACAGTCACCTAAGGTTTCAAGGTAAATGTTCAACCTTAAAAGTCCATACTCCTTTCCTAAAGTTTTCAATTTTCCAGTGACTTTCCCTGTAAAAATTCCAAGGATTGGCAGACCATCAAAAATTGCCTTTATGGTTTTGCAGGACTTGAACGACAGGAATGTGTTGAAACTTCACTAGGAGAGTAACAGAGACATAAAAAAGGTTGGTGGTGATTCCCAAATGGCAGTTCAAACTTATTCTGCAGGTCACCACAGCTGCTAAGCAGATGCTGGCAAAGGTCTAGAAAATCCTTAGGTTGTGCCTCACTGAAACAAAAAATAAGGTCATGCAGGCCATGATTCATGGAAAATTGAAGCCACCTTACAAAATAGAGTACCTGTGTACACCAAGCTCTGGCACCCTTGGCTGACCCACTTCCCCCCCCCAGGATCTGAGGAGTCCTTGTCTAAGCCCTGGTGTGCTTCCCAGAGAACCCATGCCTGATCATTATTCAATTTGTGTCTACAGGTTAACCCCTGGGACCCCCTCTTTCCTTATTTACATATGAAAATGTTCAGTTTTTGTAGCAAGATGCGTATAGATGTATATGCATCTATCGTTCAACATTTATGGTCTTTATATCCAGAAAATCTATTTAAATATTATTGTAAGGATGAACAATATGTTTCTTGCTCTGTCTTGAAAGAAAAAAAAAATTGAAGCAGGAATAGAAGTTGGTGAGTGTTTCAACAGAGTTGTACAGCCACAAAACTGAAACACCACTGCTGAGTGAACCAACCAACCCTTCCAAAGTCTTGGAAGCACTCTTTTAAAGTAGAACTATAGGCAAAACTTTTTTTCCATTTTGGATAGAGTAAGGGGAAGGGGGGCTCATAACCTCTGTCAGTTTATTTTCTGCCATCCCATTGGGCTGATTTACTCTCACTTCCTGTCCCATAGCCAAAACAGGAAGTGAGAAAATATTTGCAAATGAAGGGAATTCCTTGAGGACTACCAGGTTACCAGAACTAGTGTCCCTATTGGAAAAGGTCCCCTCTATTACTTTTCTGGGGACAGCCAAAAATTTGGGATATTCTTTTACTTTCAATGATAATGGTAAACAGGGGTACAAACAGCAATGAAAAACAGGTGTTCTAATCCCTCACCACTCTGTCCAAATGAATGCTGCCTACGAATAGCTGAGCGTCTCTGCTTTCCGAAAGCTCAGACAAACGAATTATCAATGTAATTATGCAAGTGTCATACTTGAAAGATCCCTGTGGAAGCTGTAAATCACAGTAGAGGCACTGCTGTTCCAATGATCACCATCAGCTTCCAGGTCCTGTGCTGAGCGATTGTCATTCTGCATAGTGAACACAGGAGGCCACTCACTTGCTCAGCTGCCATTCAGAGGACACTCTGCATGTTCTCAGTAAATGCAAAGCATTCTCTGATTAGAGGAGATGGGGAAGTAGGAGTGTGATGTCCTGATCTCCATCTCGTCCAATCAGAGAATATTTTTCATTGAAAAAGTTCAAAGTGTACTCTGAATTTGTCCCGGGCCAAGCAAGCGACCTCCTGTATTCACTACGCAGCAGGATACCCACTCAGCAAAGTACCCAGAAGCTATTGAAGAGAATTGTAGTAGCTGTGCCTACTACAGTGATTTCCAGCTTCTAAAGGGATGATCAGGTATGGCACCTGCATATTGACCACAGTCCAAGTTGGAACAAGGTAACTATGCAAAAATATGCACACCTGAACTTCGGCTTTAAAACATACACATTTACTCAAAAACCCAATCACTCCTTTTTTGAACTGTATAAAGCATGCATTTTATTTGAAAAGGACGGCTGTTATGGGATGATCACTCTAACTTTATGGGATGACCCAACTAACAATTTACAACTGGTTGGAGGCAAATAAAGGAAAAATAATCATGAGTGCAATTAGTGGCTCTTTCAAATGTTGTACATCTGGGTTTGTTAAAAAATAAAAACTACTCCAATGGATTTGGAAATACAGGACTTAAAAGTTATATTGTTTCAAAGAAAAATTTTGCATAGAAGCTATAAAAAAATTGGTTTGGATTGAAATGTAAAAACGTAGTATATTATGACCAGTAGCATAAAGGTTATGAACCAAAAAGCAGCTAAAAAAAGGGCAGTCTGTTAATAAGGTTTAAAACTTTAGCTAATCTTTGTACTGCTCATAAAGAGATGGGCACATTTTTAGCACTGCTGTCATTCCCATACAGCTTCATTAGAAGCAGTTATACTGATTACCACAAAACACCAGACAGTACTTTCAGGACCAAAATACTACAGTTTTTTCAGTTCTCTTAATAATGATCTCGACAAACCAAATAGACTGGCGGTGGTAAAGCAGTCATTGTCATTGGTGAGGCTAAGCAGAGGAGCCAGGATTCCTATCTGAGAATGAAAGTCAGATATTGTGTTAGTAATAGATGGGGGGAAGCATGTTGATGCTATCTGAGCATTTTTTTTAGCAGAATAATCTAGCAGCTTGTTTGTGAATTTATCAGTGCAGTCACCTGGTTCAAAAGACTATCAGAAGCCAGTTTTTACGGTGCAAAACGGGAAACAGAAAGTTTTAGTACTGCAATATACACAGAGAGAGCTGCCCATACATATACAATATACACTATATTGCCAAACGTATTGGGATGCCTGCCTTTACACACACATGAACTTTAATGGAATCCCAGTCTCAGTCTGTAGGGTTCAATTACACAATTTCAAATACACTTGGCACAATGCAACACTTTCGACAATATAGTGTGTATATATACACACTGCTCCAAAAAATTAAAGGAACACTTGTTAATCAGAGTATAGCATCAAGTCAATTAAACTCCTGGGATATTGATTTAGTCTGTTAAGTAGCAAGAGGGGGTTGTTTATAAGTTTCAGCTGCTTTGGTGTTAATGAAATTAACAAACAGGTGCACTAGATCTTTAACCAATGATACTACAAAGCTCCTAATTCACTCCCTGGTTATCTCTTGCCTCGACTACTGCAACTCCCTCTTCACTGGCTTACCTTTACATAGGCTATCCCCCCTCCAGTCCACCATGAATACTGCTGCCAGGCTCATCCACCTTACCAACCAGTGTCTGCCACCCCTCTCTGCCAAACCCTCCACTGGCTTCCACTCATTCAACAAATAAAATTCAAAATACTAACAAAAACTTACAAAGCCATCCACAACTCTGCCCCCAACTACATCACTAACCTGGTCTCAAAATATCTACCAAACAGCTCTCTTCGATCCTCCCAAGACCTTCTGCTTTCTAGTTCCCGTGTCACCTCCTCCCATGCTTGCCTCCAGGACTTCTCCCGAGCTTCTCTTATCCTATGGAACTCCCTACCCCAATCTGTCCAGCTTTCTCCTAATCTATCCACCTTTAGACGATCCCTGAAAACCTCTCTCTTTAAAGAAGCCAATCCTGCTTCTACCTAGTAAACTGCCATTTATTTCCTCCATCAGCTCATCCCCCCCACAGCTATTACCTTTTGTATCACTGAACCCTTCCTCCTAGATTGTAAGCTCTAACGAGCAGGGCCCTCTGTTTCCCTCTTGTACCAAATTGTATTGTAACTGTAATGTCTACCTTCATTTTCTAAAGCGCTGCTCAAACTGTTGGTGCTATATAAATCCTGTATAATAATAATATAGATGAGCAACAATGAGACAACCCCCAAAACAGGTATGGTTTTACAGTGGATGCCACTGACATTTTTTTCCTACTTATCTTTTCTGACTGTTTTTCACTAGTTTTGCATTTGGCTAGGGCCAGTGTCACTACTGGTAGCATGAGGCAATACCTGGATCCTACAGAGGTTGCACAGGAAGTCCAACTCCTCTAGGATGGCACATCAATATGTGCCATTGCCAGAAGGCTCGCTGTGTCTCCCAGAACAGTCTCAAGAGCATGGAGGAGATTCCAGGAGACAGGCAGTTACCCTAGGAGAGCTGGACAGGGCCGTAGAAGGTCTTTAACTCATCAGCAGGACCAGTATCTGCTCCTTTGTTCAAGGATGAACAGGATGAGGACTGCCAGAACCCTACAAATTCACACCAACAGGCATCTGGTGTGAATGTCTCTGACCAAATAATCAGAAACAGACTTCATGAGGGAGGGGGGGAGGGAGAGAGGGAGGGGGGGAGGGAGAGAGGGATGGGGGGGGAGGGAGAGAGGGAGGGAGGGAGGGAGAGAGAGGGGGGGGAGAGAGCGAGAGGGGGGGGGAGAGGGAGATGGGGGGGGAGAGGGAGAGAGGGGGGGGAGAGAGGGAGGGAGAGGGGGAGGGAGAGAGGGGAGAGAGAGGGGGGGGAGGGGGAGGGAGGGAGGTGGAGAGAGAGAGGAGGGAGGGAGGGAGGCATTCTTTCCAGTCTTTTCCTGCAAGCTGGTTCAGCATGTAGGCAAGTGCAGTCTCCTTTCTCCACTGCAGGTGGCAATCAACCACAGCGGCATTGCAGGAGGAGAGGAAGTCAGTAGGAACCTGTTCCACTATGGTTTGCTGGGTAATTGGGTAACTGATCCGGTTGGATGCTGCCACCCCATATGACTCTTGGGGCCATTTTGGGTCAGACAGAGTCTATTTAGGACCCTGGCTCCCAGGCTTGGCATGCAGTTTGGCAAGTGAACTGCATAGGGTCAGGTCTCACATCTGACATGACATTCTCCTGAAAGTGAATAGCAGTAGGGAAAGGATCCAGACCTGTAATAAAAGGCTAGGGACATTCCATCCTTCCTGGGATCCTCCCATTTGGGCGCAGACCAGCCAGGCTGCATTCCTGCTGTCGGCACATCTGAGACCTGCTCTGATCCACATTGCTG